TTGTTTGACATATTCTCGAAATTCCATACTAGTATTATAATTTCTTTCTTCATAAAGCTCATAAAGCCTTGTTCTACTTTTGTATATACCTATGGTGGCCCATTCACTGAAGGTTGTAGCACCTTTAACTGACAACTTCTTAGGAGTGAAAGTTGATTTAAATTCTGAACAATACATGTTAAAAAAAGCGTTATATAATTGATTAGGATCATCACTATAACCCAAGTGGGGTAGTTTACCAAGGAGTTTATTTTTGAAATTTTCCATACGAGTTACAGTTTTAGGTACTACAGTTATATCTCGTGTTACCACCATTCTGTTTTTCATAGCAAAAGCACACATCTGTCCACAGTGATCAGAATTTAGTTTGTTTATTACTCCTTTGGTGTGTGGCACTATGTCAGTAAATATATTATCTATGCACCTGGCTGTGGTGGCTGTGATCCTAGTAGGCTCCAAAAAAATATTATCAAGATTGTATGACCCAAATAGGTTTTTAAATCTTGAGCTCAAGGATGTATCAATATATTTACATTAAAATCACCATACACAATTACACTTTTGTTTGACTTACATACTTTCTGCAAGACTTCGTTCATAATTTTTTCAAAACTAATATATGATGAGGATGGAGGCCTGTATACACTCAATACAATAAGTTGCTCTAACTCCACACATGCTATTTCTATTGTCCGCTCAGCAGAGAAGCCTAAAATATCAGTACGGTTCCTATAAGTTAAATCCTTTCTAATAAAAATTAATGAACCGCCATGTACAGCACGCTCCCTACTGAACGAACTACCTAATATATGATTACTGAAGTTGAACATGAGCTGGTGACTTTTTAGCCAATGTTCTGTAATACAAAGAATATCAATTTTGTCACAGCTCATGAACAATTCAATTTCTAGGTGCTTACTAGACATTCCTTGAATATTTTGATGCACTACAGTGAAAGTGTTGGTTGTACATTTCTTTGATACCACTCTGTATGGTAAATTTAAGCTAGAGGTTACCTCCTTTGTCCCTACATCTAGTTTAAAATATGTGAATTCATAGCCAAACCCTTGGCTTGATCAATATAAGTTGCCTGTGCAACTGGTTTAATAGCCAAGTTTTTGGCTGTTATATCAATAAAATAAGATAGCGATATTGCTGACTGTCGTTTACAAAACAATGAAAGATAACACCTATCTTTTGTCATATATAAATATTGTCTAACATAATTGTTAGTGTCAATTATATGAAACTTCATATTGTAATTTGATATGTTGTGTAACTGCATATTTAACTTATACCTAAGGTTATTTTCTTCCTCTGGCAAGCCTTTACTATATGGCAGTGTAAATATGATTGTCTGTTTCAAATTAAATGCACATACTTTATTATAATAATGCAGCAAAATCTGCCTATCTAAATTGCCCCTATTTCCAATTAAAACTATCAAAATTGTATCCTGGCTGAACTTAAGACTGGAAATTTTTGTTAATATTTGACAATATTCTAAACCAGGCATACAGAAATTAGTTATTAATAAATCACTGCACATATTTCCCAGCAACTGACCCATACCCTTCCCAATCTCATCACTGAATATTACAATTTTATTTCTTTTAGCTTCTGAGTTGTTCTTTGTTATAAGGGATGTCTTATTATTATTTGCTAACAACATGGGGGTGCCACAAGTCAGGTCAGAGTGAACCGGGGAGTGCCGACTACTAAATGAGTCATTTTCTATCAACAATTGAGCATGGTTACAGTTACAGGAATCAGAATTCACCAGCTCATTCATTGCCAGCATGTACTCCCTCATTTGCTTTTCGGAACTCTCATATTTGTTGGTCATAGATACTAACTCCTCATTAAGACTATCTAACTGAGAATGAAGGTGTTGTGTTTCATAGTCATGGTTCAAGTGACAATTTTTTAATTTTTCTGAATACATATCTAATTTTCCAAGCAATGACAGCCTCTCTCTATTCAATTTGACATTTTTAATGAAAATTTTTTGCCTATTTACCAACTTTTGTGTTTTTCTTATATATCTATTAATTTTGACATATTTTTTTAATTTATTTTTACTACATTTAACAATCATACTTGATTTATTCATAACATCATCACAGGTTAGATCAATGGGCACAATAGGCATTTGGTTATTGACAGTGACCATATTTGGGTCATTGGTCACCAGAAAAAAAAAAAAAAAAAAAAAAAAATGCTTTACACGATCTAGAGCATGCTCATACTCAGCACTGCACCGGCTGAACCCATCCACAATGAGCTGAAGCCTATCCCGGGCAACAATGGCTTCAGTGCATTGTGTATGAATCTGGGCTAGTTCTAACTTAACCTGCTTATTTTTCTCAATTAGGCCTAGTAATTCTTTCTCATTATCATCTGTTTCCGCAATCAGCTGGTTACACAACTGCTTAGACTCCTTTAGCTTGCTCAACGCCAATTGGAGTTTGGACTCCTCTTGGCGAGCAGCTAAAGGCTCAACTTTCCTTTTCCGTACATCGAGTTTGGGGCTAAAAATTTTTTTCAGGATATATTACACTATTATAAGCACACACGTAAAAGTTTCAACACGCGGAGACGCGTAGTTTTTGAACAAAAAAATATTGAAAATCAATTATTTTTGCAATTCTTCTGTCAATATTACACTATTAATGACAAGCTTTACCATAGATTATATAAAATTCTCATCACGGAACGTTTCGTTTCATCTATGGTTAAGTTGTCATACGTTCCGTAACATTTTATTTTACATAAATTTACGTAAATAATTAAATTTTGTACTCATTTCAATAGTTTACATGCACACATATATTTAACAGTTAATATATGATAAATTATAGCATGACAGTACCTGTTAGGGCAGATAACAAATAATTTAGGTTAGGTTCAACTTATGTCACAGAACCGAATTGATTGACCCCGACTTCACGTGGTACGACTCTGTCCTACCCCTAGAGTGTTTTTATAGAACCGGAGGCGCGTAGGGAGAGCAGCCTCCGCCCGCTGTAACAAATCGCAGGCATCGGACGAGCCGGAGCGGCTGAGGCTGGTCGCCGAAGGCGACCAGCAAGCCGAAGCTGCGGAGGCGAGGACGGATGCCTACGATTTGTTACGCAAGGGCGTAGAGGCTGCATTTCCCGCAGCGCCGGAGACGTTTCAGAAAGGATTTTTAAGTTTCGTTCCATTAGTCTGCTACAGACGGTAAACACTACACATTTAATTTTTAATTTTAATAGCTTGTAATGAAAGTAATGCAGTAATTTCATATATAAAAACTTTTAAATATGTGTACATGAAAACTATTTAAATGAGTACAAAATATAATTATTTACGTAAATTTATTTAAAATAAAATGTTCCTGAACGTATGACAACTCGTTGCAGGACGGAGTTTTACGTTTCGTTCCACAAGTCGGCTAAAGACGGTAAACACTACACATTTTAATAGCTTGTAATGAAAATAATGCTGTAATTTAATATATATAAACTCTTAAATATATGTGTGCATGAAAACTATTTAAATGAGTACAAAATATAATTATTTACGTAAATTTATGTAAAATAAAATGTTACGGAACGTATGACAACTTAACCATAGATGAAACGAAACGTTTCGTGATGAGAATTTTATATAATCTTTGGTAAAGCTTGTCATTAATAGTGTAATCACAGATTAAGAGATATGTACATAGTACAGATAAGACACCTTCTGAACAAACGTCATTTCATATGAGTTTGAGTCTTCATGACGATGATCCGCTAGGGGCGCTAGTGAGCTGAACGTAGGCCAGTGCATACCATCAAAATCGTCTTATCGATATCGATAAAATAGTGATGCGAAAAGTCGGTTTCCCTCATTTTGAAATTAGTCTTATTTTTTATTCTTATTATTTTTAAAAAGGTACAAAAATTGAAACAACTTTTAGTTTTTAATCTTATATTTCCTGCTTTTCATAAACTTGTTGTAGTCTAATTTTTGAACTGTACTTAAATTTGCCTATTTTACTTTTCTTTGAACTGTTCCACCCAAAATTAAGTTGATGCCTCAGCACCAATTAAAAATTTGTAATCGTGTTATGATCTTAATAAAATGTTCTTTTTTTAATAGATCTTTATGGGAAGAACAGCCCAACCATTCCAAATTTATTTCTTCTAAATATTTTTGTCTGACATTCTTGTATACATATTTTTTATTGCAGTTATGTTCCAAGTATTCGTTTATTGCATTGATTAATTGAGAAAATGCTACAATAAATTGGGTACAGGGATACTTTAAGTTTTTGTTTTTTAAACTTTTTCGTTCTCTATACAAAGTTAATTCATGCACATTTGTCAACTCCTTTGTAATCATTGTTTTTTTGCATTTAATACATTTAAACCCCTTACATTATTGATTATGTAACCTGTATGGAAGTAGAAGAAGTTGTTGATATTGCAGCATTCTTCTGTACAATATTTGGCTCAACATGACATGGGGACAACAATTACTTTAGATTTAATATTGTTGCCCCTACATCATCCTCACAATTTGCATAATTAGAATGAATACTTAGCATATTGGTCATAATCAAGGATTTGAAAGAGTTTTTGAATGTGTATGTATCTGGATTATTATTTCTTAATTGTGAGATCCTATTTTACCAAAAAAGTTTTTCAGGGGATCTTGGTTGAAATTACTTGTATAATAGAACGAAACTTTTTTAGAAAACAAGACATCTTTTAACCTTAAATGGCTTTCTAAGGTTGTCATCACATTATCCAATGTGGGAACATTTTGATTTTTTTTGTGTTCTGCTAGCATGATTAATATATATTTTTTTTCATAGTTTTAATTGCATCAGCCCAAAATACTGCATGTGGTGAATTAAGTTTCACAGGGCCCCTCAATTTCCGGGAGCTTGGCCTCCTCTTGATCCATTGCAACTATCAAACAGTTTGTCAAAGAATTCAACTGCATCCGCTGTGTTTCTTACAGTGCTGCTAACCAGGCTTCCATCTGCATGATGACCTACAAAAAAAAACAAAATTATTGTTAGGACTACTACTGCAATAAAAACTGTAGTGTTTTATTGTTGCTGCTTAACTGCAAAAAACATATACTATTACTTTTACACCTGAAACTTAAAGGATTATTTTTGTCCAAAATTGTTCAATACTTGCTTTAATAGCTATATAATAGTTTTAAACTAGTCAATAATACATTTTAGTGTTATGATATGGCTTTGGAAAAAACCACATAGGGTTTTCAGTTGTACTCTTGAATGGAGTGTATACCTGTATCACATAATTATACAGTTATGTAGTTATTTGTAGTAGTAGTAGGAAACTTTCTAGTTTAAAAGCTGCCTTAATACTGAACAAAGTCATTTTACTAAATAGATAACAAAGCATGTGATTCTAAAAATATGTAAATTTATCTTACCTCTTGTTGTAATATTTTCCATCGATGTTGAGGGCTTCAATTGGATCAACTGAGCCCAACCTTTAATTTGTTTCAAAAGGAACTTATTTTGGCTGTGCACAAGTCGTATTCATTAAGGGCCCCTTACAATAATTGTGATCTAATGTAGTAGTTAATTTGGCATATGTGTGATCACTTTCAACTGAAATTTAAAAACAGCTAGGTATATTACAAAAATTATTCTGTAACATAACTAGAGCTCTTGGTAAATTATAAACTATTTTACACACAAACTTTAACTCATCATATTAATTTAAATACAATGACCAATTATTTTAACCACTCACTAACCTTCTATATTCACAGGATTTGTTGGTATTCTTGTTGTTATTTCTTCTTCAGACATTAATGTAGGGCAAGCATTATATAGCCTTTTATTTCCAATAAGAAACTTTTGTTCAAAGTGCCTTATACAAATTTTTCTTTCTATCAATTGTTGCGGAGTTAGCTGCTTGGCTTGTTGATAATGAGGTGCTACTTGTTTAAGTCATATTTGCTGTAATGTTTCATTTCGAGGGAATCTAAAGAAAGTAACATCGTATTTCGTCTTCTGACACGATATACACCATGAAATAAACAGCATTTTTGAAATATTCTATACAACAAATGCACTTATATTAGTAATCACAGTTTTAAATACTGAGAGAATAAGCTACGGAAATTAATCAACGCAAAACTTAACTCGATCAACTTCATAACTGTAACAGACTATTTGACTTTAAAATTTGTGACATATACACATGACAGTTCTGTCATCGGCCCATACTAGCGGCCTCTGCTGGGGTTACGTTATGAATACCCAAGCTCCTAGAGTCAAAAGCCAATGTATGAAGTGTCAACGCCGTGAGTGTAATATTGACAGAAGAATTGCAAAAATAATTGATTTTCAATATTTTTTTGTTCAAAAATTATGCGTCTCCGCGTGTTGAAACTTTTACGTGTGTGCTTATAATAGTGTAATATATCCTGAAAAAAAATTTCAGCCCCAAAATCGATGTACGGAAAAGGAAATTTTAGCCCAGCTAAAGCTCTGCGTGTCATCATAGTTGATTAAATCGAAATGAAATGTGATAATCAAGGATTGAGAAAGTTATACGATAGGAATTAAAACGAAAAATTAAGTGAAGGTGGACAGAAAAAGATAAAATAATTATGCAAGAAGTTGTGTCACCGAACTAGATTAAGGTTATCTTTACGTTCATATAGGCAATTTAGCAAATATTTGAAACTACTTACGTTTGAGTAGAACACGTAAACACTGTTATATATCTTAAAAATTATACCTCTGGAATGATGATAATTCAAAAATCACTTGCCGGTAACTGTCACAGTGTGTAATAAATATTAAGTCTTAACAAATTCGCATATTTTCACTATTATTTATGAGTAAACAATCTTTAACCCTATCTAATCAGTGACGGATCGAAAATTAGTTAATATATATTGTATTTTACGCGAATAAAACAATTAAAATCACAAGAACAAAATTTGGATCAGCTGCTGGTCAGGGTTGCCAGGTTGATCAGTATATATCAGATAAGTACATTTATAAAATCTGCATCAGCGATTCCTTACTAGTGTAATAATTATAACATACTTTTGTGGCATTCAATAAACGTAGGTAAACCGAAGTGGTTGTCTAATTTATCCAAACCCCACCATTACATCCCTATCTATTAGCCTCTCGAGAATCTTTAATAGGAAGGACGTGAGACTGATAGGTCGGTATTATTTGGGTTCTGTGTAGTCACCTTTACCAGGTTTGGGAATGAAGACTACTTTAACTTCTCTCCATTTCAGGGGGATGTAATGATGAGCCAGGCAGCCCCTGTAGATTTTAACAAGGTGGTCCAGTAATATCACATCACACCATCTTAGTAGGCCTGGCAAGATACCATCTAGTCCTGGCACCTTGAATGGCAGGAAGCTGTCAATTGCCCATCCTAGTTTGTCACGGTTGACAACTTTGCGGGCCGTATTCCAGTCTGTATCATCTGGTGCTTTTTCCCATCAGTCTTCCCATGTTTCCGTCACGTCTGATATGCGACATCCAGGGAAGTGTGATTTCAATAACAGCTCTGAGGCTTCCGAGTCTGTTTTTGTATACTCACCATCGGGCTTCTTCAGTAAGCCAAGACTATGTTCGCATCTGCTACACAATATGTTTTTGACTCTATTGGGCCCTGGATGTGACAAATGTCGGCTCCGGGCCTATGTTAATAATGTTTAGCTTAGTTCATAGTAGGAACGATACAAATTCCTCACCTCTCCGGTTGTTGCTCCTGCTACCCCATAGCGCATGGTGCGCGTTGGTGTCGGCAGCGATGATCAGCTCCAGACCCTTGCGCCCGCAATGGTGTGCTAGCGCAGCCAGCTCCGGAGTGGGGATGCCAGCGTCACCCGGCAAGTAGGCTGATGCTATTACCACGTCAGGCAGGTCTGCTGAGGGATCCTTTAACCTAATAGAGGTAAGGTCTCTGGAACAGAACTCGGTTATTAAGGTAGTACACGTGTGTTTTGGTGTATAAATACAAGTGCGCGGGTTATCAATGTTGGTGTTAAGAAGTATCTCACCTCTAATATTGTTTAGACCGCAGATCCTGCCCTTCCTAATCCACGGCTCCTGGATTAGGGCTACGTTGTTGGTGTTTACCTCCAGTTCTCTGCGTAATTGAGCCGTTGCTGTCTGACTGTGCTGGAGGTTGGTTTGGATGGCTTTTGTGGTGTTGTTAGGAGGTACTGACAGCGCCGTCATCGCTGCTCAGCATATTCTCCAAGTCCTCGTCAAGGTCACCCTCGCCCACTGGTAGGTCCTCCAAATCCTCAGGTGGTGGATCCTGGTGGGCTGGTTCCTCTACGGGTCTCGAAGGATCACCTCCACTGCTGTCCTTGGGGTGGTGTGGGGCCATTTCTGGCCCCTCGTCTGGGTTTGTTGGTGGGAAGGGATGTTCGTCAAGGAAGCGAACGTAGAGGTTACCCAGTTTGTGGTAAACTCTATGCTCGCTAGCCCTCAGTTTCAGAACGTCCTCCTCTGGGATGCCGAGCACCAGGAAGAGGCATTTCTTCTCCTCTTGTACCTCGGCATGGTAGAGGGCCCAGTTGGCAACATTGTACTGGCTGTTTTGATTCCTCAGCCTTGTTTGTATTCGGACCAGTGTGTCGTCTGGTCCGATTTGTGGCACCAGGAGTCCAGCCTTGATCCTTGGCCGAGATCTCGGACTGCCTCCTGACTACCAACTTGGTGCCCTTACGCGGTGACGCGATCCTACCAAGGGATCGGCGAAGCCACTACAGGGCATATTCGTCGTTGCACCACATCTTAAGGGCGCCCTCATTGTAGAAGGCCTTGCCCCTAAACTGTGGCGCGGCGACGGGAGCGCTTGACGTGCCGGGTGAGAAAATCTCCCGTCCAGCACGCCCTGCAGTTGGCTCTCGATGTCCTCGGCCTGCACCTTGGTAAGGTCTGGTATGGCTCCAGCATAACTGCCACGCAAAGGTCATTTGCCTTTAGTGAGTCGGAGTAGCTTGTGGAGCTGGTTTTTGGTAGCGGTTTGATCCGCTTGCCACTGCCCTGGAGAGTGCGGGACTCATCCGGGAGAGTTCGTTTAGTGGGTCTAGCTTCACATGAAGGTTTCCCTCCATGTTTTGACTTCAAGCCGCTTACTTCCACCCGAAGTCAGAATCCGTGCTTGCTTTTCCTCTCGGGCTTTCGCCCTGTTGGCATTGCGGGTCTTCCTAGACGGGTTTGGTCTTTTCGGCACACTCTTCGACATCCTTACCAGGCTCCAGCCGGTTTCTTCCAGGCCGGGTCCCGCAGGCACGGGCATTGCTGCCCTCAAAGATGAGAGGTCGATGGTCGACACTGGCGCCGTACTCTGGTTATGTACCAGAGGTGTCGCCAGAGTCGTAGATGGCGCTGCGATCGGGTTGTTCACCTGAGGAGCAGCCATAGGTGTGCTAGCCGGCTTCACACTTGGTTTGTTCGCCAGGGGGGCAGCCGGTTGGTGTTTTAGCCTTGACGTTGGGTTATTCACCCTCGGTGTTGGCTTGGTTGGTTTTTTTGAAGAGTGTTTGGTCTCCATAGGTTTTTTTATTTTTATTCATCTCCTTGTCCTTCCACCCTCCTTGGAGCCCTCAAGTGGGGACGTCGCGGCAGAAGGCACACAACTCCAGAAGTAACAATCAGATATAGAGCCCCACCTCTGGCAGAAAGCAAGCCGAACTAGGTAGGAAGACTTGGTCGTGCCACCTGTCATCCACCGCCACCAAAGAAGAGCTCTCGCCCAGCAACCCTCTGACAGGATACTACAGCCGATCGACTAAAGGTGGCTAGCCTTCAGCCTCCTGTGTAAGGAGAAATCCAGGCCAAAGCAGTGTGTTGCCTTTCGGCTTAACTACCATGATCCCTTCATCCTCCCTTACGGGTCCAAACACACGGCACAAATATGCGGGTGGTTGCTCCCACCCCCCTCACTCTCAGTCTCTGTTGATAGTGAGGCCGCAGGCACCAACCACTTACTGTCCGCAGAAGGTGTGGATACGAGACAAAATAAGAAAGGATAGGTTTTATGGGATGGAATTGCGTCTGGGTGTTTCTGTTATATCTGTTTCGTAGGGAATCAGACCTAAAACAGGCGGCAACCACGAGAAGGATGACACCCAGACTTGCCATGGGGATCTACACGACTGTTGCGCTCTCCCCCATGACCATTCGCCGTGCACGCCCTCCGGACAGGATACCAGGATTGGATCTGCGATCAGCCAGGCGATCTTGGCCTATTGGAGCACACCCAACCCCGCCCATACCCAAGATGGGTAGCAGTTTGTCGAGCACGAAAGAACAGCTGCCTGTTTGTACGAGTCAGCCGCTCGTTGAGGTAGAAGTGTCTTGGGGCCCATCCAGGTTAAAGTCAGTGGATGTGACGCCTCGCCTTATCCTCGCGCTCCTCAGCAACTCCTAGGGCAATCCGCGCTATGCTAGCCAAACCACGATGCGCCGGTACCTCGTGCCCATTGCCCCCTCACCGGCTTCCCCCGACCGCTCCACCCGGGGCCCCATCGGTTCTGCATATACTATATCCTTTTCTTCCAGTGGTACACCTAACTTCCTGGCTACCAACTCGACCGTATTCATCACGTTTTACCGAGCGCATACTGGCAAACTGGAAATCTTCACTTTGGATAGTAGCAGGTCTTGCTACCTTTCATGGAGCTCGGTTTTCAGCTGACGTATTGTTTGCTCCCATTGGTGTGGTGGGGGGGTCTCCGCCTGTTGGTTCTTAATCCGGTCCAAGCGGTTCTTCAGATTAACAACCTTCTTCTTACAGGCTGCCACTGATTGGCGAAGGTCAGCCACCTCGAGGCGGAATTCCCTCAGATCTGCTTTGAGGTCTTCCCGCATTGCCCGTATCTCCATCCTCAGCAGTGACATTTCGTTACCGAAGTCATCCTGTGGAGACGAGTTGTCGGCCAGCGTCTGCATACTCCGCTCTTTATCACACCCTGATCCTTCTGTTGACTGGTAGGACTCGTGTTGGCTGGTAGGAGTGTGTTCTTTATTATCCGAGCATATGCCCTGGATAGGGGTGGGCCGGGTGATGTTCTTGGGTGCTTTCCTTTGCAACTCCGACATTGTAAGTCTCTGCTCACCTTCGCCGTTTCCGGCAGATGCACACAAGGGAGATGAAATCTATTTGTGCATTTGCAACATGCAGCGCCCCCTTTATTTGAAACTAACTTACCACAAACAGCACACTTGCCAGCCATGCTATCGCTATCGGCTATGTTAGGTGCTATTTTTGGCTCACCGACAACGGATGGTGCTGCTATGTGTTTTTAAAATAAGGCTTTGTTTACAGCCGTATAATGTTCGCACTGAAAGATTCACCGGAGGTTGTTGTCACACTATCAGTACTTTAGTTTAGAGTAAAATGTCGACGTATTCCAATGAAGTTTATTACTTTATATTATAGGGTACTTTGTTCACTGTTTTGATTAGAAATATAAACTCTCAAATTTTTCAAGTTTATAGCGTAAGATATCACCGGATAACACTATATGTATTTTATTGTAGCTTTGTAACACTGATCCAATTTATCTATTTTGATAACTTGAACAAATTATTTTTATTTCCGATTTAAACATAAGGTGTATGACACTACAACGTCGTCCTGTCACACATCACGGTTCGCCTTATGATCGCAAAAAGTCGTGTCGCTCCCATTAAACCCATAACCATCCCCAGGTTTGAACTTTGTGCTGCCGTCGTTGGTACCCATTTATACAAAAGGGTAATTAGTTCACTTCGTACTCAAGCGTCGAGTGTAGTTTTTTGGACAGATTCTATGATCGTTCTGGGTTGGCTAAAGATGCTGCCGATTTGATTAAACACTTTTGTTAGGAATCGTGTTGCAGACATCTTAGACCAAACTAATTCTTGCACATGGAGACATGTACCCACTCATGAGAACCCTGCTGATCTCATATCGCGAGGAGTGGACGCGACCGCCTTGCAGTCCCTTGATCTATGGTGGCAAGGCCCATCGTAACACGTAATCGTCCTTACAAAAGGACAGCAGTGCTTGGCCCAGCATTGGAACGTCGGAGACGGCTAGTGATTTACCAGAAATGAAACCAACTATCTGTTTAGGTAGTTGTCACCATGACAAAGAGATAAGTATAGGCGTGATAGTATTCGAGCGTTTTTCTAATTTATTAAGATTGCAACGTACTGTATGTTATGTGTTTCGCTTTATTAAAAAATGTAAGCGTCAACTATTGTGCTCCTCATCTCTGTCTGTAGAAGAATTAGAATATTCATTGAATTGCATTATTATTCAGTTGCAACGTGACTCCTTTCCGGAATATAATTTATTAATTAACAATAAAAAACAACCTAATAAAAATCAATTATTAAAATTAAATGTATTCTTAGACAACAATAAAATCATGCGTGTAGGAGGTAGGTTACACAACTCCAAATACTGGTTTGAAAAGAAACATCCAATACTTATACTCGTACAGTCCACTCATTGTTTTACAAAACTTTTATTTAGATTCGAGCATTTAAGATTACTACACAGTGGTCCCCAATTACTACTAGCAACAATAAGAGAAAGTTACTGGCCGCTGGGTGGTCGCAATCTGGCTAGAACCTGCTATTGGCAATGTGTTACATGTCGGCGTCAAGCGGGTAGGACTATTGCTCCACAAATGGGTAATCTACCAGTAAGGAGACTTTCTCCATCAGACTTCCCCTTCCAAACTGTAGGTGTAGACTATGCAGGCCCGATCAACTCTGTCAGCCGTCAAGGTCGTGGATCTAGATTAGTGAAGGTCTATATCGTTATTTTTGTATGCTTTACCACTATTGCCATACATTTAGAGTTAGTCGGTGATTCGACGCGCAGTAATTAAATACAGGCTTAGCGATGATTTATGTCCCGTAGAGGGAAACCTTTAAATATTTATTCCGATAGTGTAACGTCATTTGTAGGAGCGTATAATGATATATCAAAGTTTTTAAAGCAAAATTGTGACTCCTTAGCTGATGGTGTGGCTCAAGGGTCAAATTTCATTTTATACCTGCTTACTCGCCAAATTTTGCTGGTCTGTGGGAGGCGGGAGTAAAGTCGACCGTGTAGTCCGAGTGTGACAAGTGTAATTTGTCATACGAGGAATTAAACTCCATTTTACTTCAGCTTGAAGGTGTATTAAATTCTAGGCTACTCTCCCTCTAGCAAAGAAGATGCCCCATTAACATGCGAAGGGATTCGTATAATCATCGATGATGCATTGAAAAGTCATTGAAGTGAGCTGATAGATTAGTTCAGTACGAAAATGCGGCCTTTATTGGATATCGAACTTCGACAAGTAAAGATGAGCTTCAAGACGTAAAACAAGCTATGCAATTTGAGAATGAACAGTTTGAAGACATTGAAAGGGAGCACAAAACAAGTCAGATCTGTATTAAAAACTTACAGGAGCAGAATACTTTTATGCTTTCAAATATTACTGATTTGAAATCACGAATAAACCAGCTTGAACAAAGCACTCGATCGAAAAACATAGAAATACAGTGTCTCCCTGAAAAAAAGTCAGAAAACCTAGTGTCCATAGTGAAGGAGCTAGGCAAAACTATTTCATGCGAAATCAAGGATAAAAATATCATGCGTATTACAAGGACAGCAAAAATTAATAACGAGAACTCACGCCCAAGATCGATTATTGTAGAATTAAATAGCTCAAATAAGCGAGATCAGTTTTTGGTGGCAACAATAAACTACAATAGAGAAAATCCTACGAACAAGCCTAACAGCTCTCATGCAGGGTACAGTGGTGCTGCCAATTTATATCACGTAACACCTATCTCCCTCAAACAAATCATTACATGCAGCAGCAAGACGAGTGGCAAAGGAAAAGGGATATAGGTTTGTCTGGTAGGTATATTGTGATAAGGGACGCGAGTGTTTTGGATAATTTAAAGTAGAAACCTGTTATACAACATTACGCATGAACCCTGGATTACCGTTATAAAATTCAAACAACTAAAGGAATGCGAACCAAAACACATTTGTTTTTTCAGAATTTAACTACTAGCAACTATGATATCATTGTACTAACGGAAACTTGGCTAAACTCATCCGTCCTAAGCACTGAGCTATTCGACGATCGCTACGTTGTGTACAGACGTGATAGGGAGTCATCCGGTTTCCACCCAGGAAAAGAGGGTGGTGGAGTTCTGGTTGCTGTCTCGGGGCGCCTCATGAGTAAGCGAATAAACGCTTGGGAAAGTACTTGTGAGGATGTCTGCCTCCTCCAGTACATACCGTAATGTTAAAACATTACATTCAAAGCTGTAATTCTATACTCGATTATTATAACGGCCACACTTGTATACTTGCTGATTTCAACCTTAATAATGTTAATGGGGTATGGCTTTAGCAAACCAATGTTCGGGCTTGGATCAGCTTCTGTGTGATTTTTTACATGTAGCCAATTTTAACCAACTCAATCATGTCACAAATATTAGGCAAAAAATTTTTGATCTGGTTCTTTCAGATCTACCATACTGTGCAGTGTCAGCAGCTCATGACTCGTTTACTAAGATTGATCCCTTACATCCACCCCTTGAGGCTAATATATCGATCGTGGATAGTAAAGATCTTAATATGAATTCAAACAATCGAAAATTAAACTATTATAAGGCCGATTATGGGGCCATTCGGGGGGGCTCTGTCAGGGATTGACTGGAATTCAGAGCTGGCGGAATGCACAAATGTCAATTCAATAGTGAGCATATTTTACGCTAAACTCAATGAAATATTCAACAAATATGTACCTCATAAAAAATCTGGCGAACGACATTATCCACCATAGTTTAACAAATACCTCACTCGCATGTTAAAAGAAAGAACAACATACATTCTCGATTTAAGAAGTACTTGAATCCGATTGACAAATTACAATTTAAATTATTAAGCAAAAGATGTTCTAAATTTGCTAGTGTGCTACAACCAATACATTACCGATACAGAAATCAAAATATCCAAAAATGCTAAAAACTTCTGGTCTTTCGTGAAGGCTAAAAGGGACAAAAAAATTTTTTATCTTGGCTTAATGACTGATGGAATCTCGGTCAGTTCAGATGGCGATGGGATATGTAATCTTTTTGCTTCAATGTTCTCGCAGGCCTACGATAGTAAGACTACAAATTTAGCTCAAGTTTTAGCTCCTTGGTTATAGACCGGATAACGATATTAAGAAAGTTGAAGTATCTGGATACAGCTAAAGGTGCAGGGCCAGATGGCATCCCGCCAATTTTCGTAAAAAACTGTGCATCTCAATTAACAACGCCATTGCACATCATTTTTACCATATCGATTTCTTCTGGAATATTTTCAGATGAGTGGAAAGGGGAATGCCCACTACCCATAGACACTTTGGCCCTAGATGCACACATATAAAAGTATATGGAAATGATAATATACAATTTAAAGAATGAAATGTTTAAGGAATTGGTATTAAAAAAAGTCGGGATTTTTAAGATATAAAATGATTTTAATTTCCAGAAATAACTACAGTATTTTTTTCTTATTCATCATTTTATTGTTATTCTCACATACAATATCAAGTTATATGTAGTTCTTAGGTATTTTATGATCATACATCATTTGTGTCATACACAATTAGTACATCATCCAGGAATTGAGCCGGAGGAAAAATATTTGTTTGATGTCGTGCCCAACCCAAATACCATATTACTGTCATTACAAAACCTCCTTTCTAAGCAGAGGCCTATGTCCAGCAGTGGACTGTTAAAGGCTGTTGATGATTGATGATGATGATGAAAATATATATAAAATATATTTTTCGACTGATGTGTCGACTTGCGATTCTAGCCCTAAGTAAAGAGCAGTTAGGACTAAGGTATATTCCTTCCATAATGCTGCTCCTATGGTCATTACATATTTCTATGTGGTAGCAACCATTAGCTCTTATATGCTCACCATAATAGGAGCGAGCTTGCTTTAATTGGTATGTACCACAAGCAATTAGTACTAAGCCGCTGTAAGTTAAAATAGGAAATTCCCTAACATTTTCGGAGCCTACGTTTATATTTCTAAAGTCTGC